CCCCCCCCCCCCCAATCATCGGTGAACGAAACTGTGGCAGCTACAACCAGTGTACGACGATTACGCGGTTTTTACAGCTGACAATGATGATGATGATGTCCACTAGCTCCTAATGGTTAAGCTAGGTGTGTGCGTTTTGCGTAGACCTGAAAAGCGCAACCAAAAAGGCGCAGTAGACAAGTGGATGGTCGCAATCCACGCTGGTAATCCAGAAGAAGCGACAAGTAGTGATTGACTACGCCACAGGTAAATTACGGTGATATGGTCTGTTTGGATTCAGGACTGGTTCGTGGGTAGTAACCACGTCGTCAAACGATTCCAGTTGTTCCGGAAGTTGGCACTGCAAAAAAACAGTCGGCACATGACGCGTCCTCTGTTGTCCATGTGTCTCGTATCCAAGACGACCACTCAAATGGGCTTCAGCAGCACTGCCCGGGCATTCATTTCGCCATCAGCCACAGCTACATGTGAACTTAAAGCACGTTGTAAAAGAGCAGCCAACTAGTCACAGAAACCTTTTGGTACATTCAGAGCTAGTCGTATGGGGCGTGAGAAGATACGATAAACAGCATGCAATGGACCGCACTTCCCCTAGATCTTCTCACAGACGCTACCAAACGAACCGCTTAGAAGTGACTGCCGAAGAATATCCAATCAACTAGAGACCTTTCTGCTCGTTTTCCCAATACAATACCTACCACAGCATATCTAACCGCGGCGGCCTCCGCATTGCTTGAGCTGCCCAGCCGGAACTTGGAAGAGACCTAGGGGGAAGTCAGTTCAATTAGAATACTTGCGTCCCGTATCCTTGTTTCTCACAGACAACATAAACCAGTGAAGTGAAATCCAGCGTACGAACAAGAGCCACTTATTGTCCTGTCTGCCTCAGTGTGTGAACATCAAAGGCAGCTAAGTAGAACGGCATCCCGCCCTGCCGTATGCAGCATGTAAGGCGACTCAGCTGGTGACACCGCGCGACGACCAATGCGTCATGAGAGTATTGTTAGT